GTGGAGCAGGGAGGTAAATGGACACTGGCCTCCAGGGCCTGTGAGCCAGAGACCAGATATCTTCAAGAAGGATCAAGGCGAAGATTAAGAGGCCACTGGGACTGGAGGGGGCTGGGCAACATAAAGGGTGTGCCCAGGAATAGAGGGAAGCTGAATGATCCATGTGATATTGATGCAGGGGAGGGGACTATCTTGCAGAATGTAGCAAGGACAACTCGACCTTCATCATTTAGAAGTTCCAAAATAGTTCTTACCCTGGGGTCCAGGGGTGGATCAGTGAACCTTTAATATGGTCTGGGATCCAAAGAGGCCCAGCAAACAGAGCCTGGGACCTCCAGGAATTGTTCTTTGGGGAAGGTGGGGGGCACTGGTGGATGCAGCACCAAGGCTCTCAGATGCACTAAGGAAAATGGACTTAGTAAGACTGGAAGGCAGAAGAGGATAGCAGATGCTGTATAACTAGCCATATGCAATACTGAACAAATCATTTCACCTCTTGAACCTGGCTTTCCTCTTGAGGCAGTTAAACTTGATGATTTATAGGTTTCCAGCTTTAAAATTCCTTAAAATTCCAGAAGCACCATTCACGAGTACAATTTACTGGGGTAAGTAGTGAGTTCCCCATCACTGGCAGTATTCAAGAAGAGTGAGACTAGCCACTTGTCTAGTATTGCCCTAGGGAGAATTCCTACATTAGGTAGGAAGTTAAGATTTGACGTTGAATAATAAAAACGATAATAATAATGTTATTATCATTAAGTAGGTAATACGCGCCAACATGCCCAGCACTGTTCCAAGCATTTACACACATTTACACACATTTACACCCATCTTAACCACCGCCCTTCATTCCGCAACCAGCCTCTGCGGCTGCTGAGCTAGGCATGCCTTCTCCTGGCCTGGGTTCTGAGTGCCAGGCCATGCGGTGGAATGCAGGTGGCAGGCTTACCAACAAGGCGGCTTTCCCAGGGCTTGCTGCCGAGAGCAGGAAGGATTGGTGGTCGGTGCGGGGAACCTCAGATTCTCTGGGCCCCTCCCACCCACCACCTCCCTTCGCAGAGGGTAAGAGACTAACGCCCAGAAAGGGTGAGCTAACTATCCAAACCCACACAGTGGGATGCCTGCGTGGCTCAGCCCGCGTCTGCCTTCCGCTCAGGTCATGATCCTATCGACGTGGGATTGAGTCCCACATCGGGCTCCTCGCTCAGCAGGGAGCCTGCTTCTCCCTCTGCCTGATGCTCCCCCTGCTTGTGCTCTCTCTCTCTTTATGATTTAAAAAATAAATTAAAAAATCAAACAATTAAAAAAAATCAAACTCACACAGCAAGTAAGGGGCAGAGTTGGGAAACCAGCTGCCTCGCATCCTGCCTTCCAGGCCAGTGCTTGACGTTTTGTTTGGTTTTGTTTTTAGCGAAGCCGCGTTACTGTGGTGGCTCACGCTATGTTGCTGATAGTCCCTGGGTTCTGAGATCTGAAGAGATGTATTTTCTCATGAAGGCGCATGGATCAACCACAGCAAATCGGAGATTCACAAGCCTGGTACTTATTTAAAGTTCAATTCCTGCCTATTCTAAAAATTCTAATCTAATCTTACCCCAGTACAACCAGATTTACCTCTCACTGAGCTTGAATCAGCATTTCTGCTTTGAGGCAAATTTCCTCACTAAGATCTACCCAAAATGACATATTCCTGCCTACCATACTTCTGCCCCAGCCATCAGCCCACCAGAATTCCTCCCCGGTCCTCTCTGCTTATCTGCTGGGGATGGGACTTCCTGTGCACTTGGGGGCCCAGAAGGGACAGCCATCCCTGGAACGCTTAGTTTACAAACTAAATTTATACCTCAGTCGGAAACATGTGACTCTCCCATTTAAGCTTCACAACACACAAATTCTTCAATATATTCTAGGTTCATAAAGGAATAAAATCTGCGGACTGGTAGGAACAGTTTAGAATTCTCCACTCATCTACCCTTTCAGTCCTAGGGAACTGAGTTAAAAGCAGAATTATTCCAGGGCAAAGATACTTGCTATACTCTCTTTTTCCTTCCTTTTCCCCTTCTTTCCTTCCTTCCTTCCTTCCGTCCTTCATTCCTTCCTTCCTTCCTTCATTCCTTCCTTCCTTCCTGTTTCTTCTTAGTTCAGTGGTTTTCAAATTTGGGGTGCAAAATTCTCAATGTCAGTATGATTTAAAGAGTGTCTAAAGCCTGTGTAACTTTAGGTGACAAGCTGGCTGTGACCCCCTTAGTAAGGTGCCCTTCCATAGTCTTGGAGCACATCCACAGTTGAGAGGAGGCTCTGGAGTCCAGGGTGACCTTGGGCAGGTTTCTTATCCCTTCTCAATCCCATTTGTAAAATGAGGGTGATGACAGGGCTCCCTCACAGGAAATGTTTGCTGAAGGGGCTTAGTAGGTCTGGGCCTCTGCACCCTGGTCTCTGGCACCTGCTACATGTCCCTCTTTGCTCTCAGATGAACTTAGAGATTGTCATCAGCATCACCCACAGCTGGTGTCATGGCCACCTCCACCTGCCCTTCACACCCAGGGACTGTGCCCAATGCCACAAAGCTGGGGCCCAAATCCCTGTTCTCCATTGCTCACTGGACCAGGGAACTCTCAGAGTTTAGGGAGGCAGGGCTCAGCCCCTCCTCTGCTCTCCCAAGATGCTTTCTTTTTCCAACAATAAGTCTTGGAGGTGATTCCATGCTGGTATATGTAGCTAGAGTTCATTCATTTAAACATTTCCTTAGTATACCATATATCATTTTTGTACATTTGTTTCATTATCTATGGACCAGATTCTTGGAAGTAGAATTGCAGAGTCAAAGGGTATGCACATTTAGCATTGTTGTAGATATTGGCAGATGGCCCTTCACAAAGGCTGTCCAAATTTACATTCCTCCAACAGAATATGAGGCTTACAACCTGATGTAAAGGTAGAGCCATCGGGACAACTGGATCTGAGCGATGAGTTAGTCCTAGGCCCATCCGAGTCCGAAAGAATGAGCCTTTAGCCCATAGGATGGGAGGAAAGGCCACCTCTGTTAGACTGAGGATGGGCAGAATGGGAGCATTTCCGTGCGCCCCCCCCCCCCCAGCAGGTCACAGTGACATAGGATGATTACTTACAAACCCAAGGTTGGAGGATGCTTCCTGCTATTGAGAAGGGAGAACAAAAGCCTTCATCTTGATTCTGCAGCAGGGGAGATCACAGCTTTGGATCATGGACCCTTTTTAGGATTTGATAAAAGCATGGGACCTGTGCCCTGAGTACACACACATGTACCCACCCATACATGTACATGCAACTTTGCATATAATTTCAAAGAGCTAATCCAAAATCTCAATGTACTTGAGACATCATGTAGAAAACCCAAACTGACCTTCTGGAGGGTGAGATACCCCATAGAATCCCAAGCCATTCTAATCCTCCCAAACAACAAGGCCATCCTAACCTGCGAGTGCCCACTGTCCCACAGCTCATCATAGGTTCGTAAGTGAGCCCACCTGAGCTCAGCAGAGACCAGCAGAAGAACCACTCAGCCGAACCCAGCCCAAATTGGTAACCTGCAGAATCAGGAGCTCAAGAATGGCTGATGTTTAAAACCATTAAGTATGGGGATGGTTTATTATACAGCAAAAGCTAACTGATAACAATCTCCAGGAGGACTTGGGAATGCTACTGGGGGACACAAAAGAAGACTGGAACAAATGGAAAGACATTCTATGTTCTTGAGTCAAAAGAATCAAGATCATGGAGATGTTGATTTTCCCTAAATTATTCTATAAATTAAACAAGCTACAAAGGAAACACAAATGGGAACTTTTTATAACCAGAGGAGCTGATTCTAAAGTTCCTATAGAAAAATAGAATCAAGAAGAATCAGGGGGAAAATCTAGAAGACAAAGAGGAACTATCCCTATCACATATTACAGCACATTACAAAGCTTCAGTAATGAAAAGCAGGCTCATGAATATACCAACATATCAGATAAACAGAATAGGAAATCCAGAAACAGATCTAAGTATATAGAGGAGTTTGATATATGCTGAAGGCATAATATGTAAAGAACTCCCACAATTCAATAAGGAAAAGCTTTACAAGACAATAGAAAAAGGAATAAATGATATGAAAATCTAGGTCACAGAAAAGGAAATACAAATAGTTCTGGATATTTTTTTTGAGATTTTATTTATTTATTTAAGAGAGAGAGCATGCACGTGAGTTGGGGGAGGAGCAGAGGGAAAGGGACAAGCAGACTCTGCCCTGAGCTCGGAGCCAGACATGGGGCTCAATCTCAGGACCCTGAGATCATGACCTGAGCCAAAATCAAGAGTTGGATGTTCAGCCAACTGAGTCACCCAGGCACTGCGGTTCTGGATATTTTAAAAGACACTCAGCCTCACTCATAATAAAAGAAATTCAAATTCAAATTATCCTCAGAAAACAGTTTCCCATCTATCATGTTGAGGAGGGTATCTAAGAGTTTTATAACATACTTGTTGGAGCTTGTGTGAGGAAAAAGGCATTTTTACACGCTGCTGATGTGAGCATCTACTGGAGTCACCTCTGTAAGTCAATTTGGCGTTATCAAGCAAAATGGCAAATGCATATAGCCTCTGGACCAGAAATACAGATATATTCTGATGCATGCACATAATGCATGGACAAGATTTTTCACTGCAGCATTATTTGTGATAGGAGATAATAAAATCTTACGCAGCCGTAAAAGAAAACAAAGTTCTTTTATGTGCTGAAATAGAAGATCTCTAAAAAATAGGTGGAGTTAAATAAAGTGTACAAATATGCTAATATTTGTAATGAAGCAGAAATGTATGTATGTTTATTTGCTTATATATGAATAAAATAACTCTTGAAATGTATACAGGAGCATACATTTGTATTCTACTTGTGTGTGTTTTTTCCTAAACTGACACACATTTACTCATCAAATAAGCTAGCGCGATCTTACATGTTTAAATTTGTAAATGCAGCCTTGGTGTGATTCCATCCTGCGCGGCCGTTGTGTGGAACAGTAGTTGTTTATCTCCGTCCGCCTTCTCTTCCACCTAAGTGTGTGCCACCACCCCATGGAAGAGTCGATGGACATGGACATGAGCCCCCTGAGGCCCCAGAACTATCTTTTCGGTTGTGAACTAAAGGCTGATAAGGATTATCACTTTAAGGTGGATAATGATGAAAATGAGCACCAGTTATCTTTAAGAACGGTCAGTTTAGGAGCTGGTGCAAAGGATGAATTGCACATTGTTGAAGCAGAGGCAATGAATTATGAAGGCAGTCCAATTAAAGTCACACTGGCAACTTTGAAAATGTCTGTACAGCCAACGGTTTCTCTTGGGGGCTTTGAAATAACACCACCTGTGGTCTTACGGTTGAAATGTGGTTCAGGGCCTGTGCATATTAGTGGACAGCACTTAGTAGCTGTGGAGGAAGATGCAGAGTCAGAAGATGAAGAGGAAGAGGACGTGAAACTCCTTAGTATATCCGGAAAGCGTTCTGCTCCTGGAAGTGGTAGCAAGGTTCCACAGAAAAAAGTAAAACTGATGAAGATGATGATGAAGATGATTTTGATGATGAGGAAGCTGAAGAAAAGGCTCCAGTAAAGAAATCTATATGAGATACTCCAGCCAAAAATGCACAAAAATCAAACCAGAATGGAAAAGACTCAAAACCGTCAACACCAAGAACAAAAGGTCAAGAATCTTTCAAAAAACAGGAAAAGACGCCCAAAACACCGAAAGGACCTAGTTCTGTAGAAGACATTAAAGCAAAAATGCAAGCAAGTATAGAAAAAGGTGGTTCTCTTCCCAAAGTGGAAGCCAAGTTCATCAATTATGTGAAGAATTGCTTCCGGATGACTGACCAAGAGGCTATTCAAGATCTCTGGCAGTGGAGGAAGTCTCTTTAAGAAAATAGTTTAAACAGTTTGTTAAAATTTTCCGTCTTATTTCTTTTCTGTAACAGTTGATATCTGGTTGTCCTTTTTATAATGCAGAGTGAGAACTTTCCCTACCGTGTCTGATAAATGTTGTCCAGGTTCCATTGCCAAGAATGTGTTGTCCAAAATGCCTGTTTAGTTTTTAAAGATGGAACTCCACCCTTTGCTTGGTTTTAAGTATGTACGGAATGTTATGATAGGACATAGTAGTAGTGGTGGTCAGACAAATGGAAATGGTGGGGAGACAAAAATATACACGTGAAATAAACTCAGTATTTTAATAAAGTAAAAAAAAATTTGTAAATGCAAATCCGTGTTTAACAAAATTGTATTGTTATGCTAATGAATTTTATTTTTCAAGTTATGTTTTGTAGTTTATCGGCTTAAAAATAATTTCTAGGATCTTTAGGTAACTTAAAACCTTGGACTGATTGATTTGATTAGTGTATATTCACTGGGTATGTAGATTATTTCTAAGCAAAATGGGGCCCTGAGACACGCATACTAAGCATAATTTAAGTTTACATACTTTTGCTTCTTTTTTTATATGCTATGGATAGCCTATAACTTTGGGTCTCTTAATGAATGTATTCATTTTTGCCACTTGGAGAAGCTGTACTCTAGGGGATGCACGTGGCGGCAGAAAACTGTGTTTTGTGTCCTTGTGAATTCTGTTTGTCGGCTAAAATGCTAACGGGAGACAGTGGACCTTCATGAGTATTCCAATCTCTGGTTTTCTCTGCGAAACAGAAGCTGCTTTGCTTAAAAGTTATAATCACTGAGCATGATTGACACTATGCTAAGAACAATAGTTACACTATGCTAAGAACAATAGAACAAAATTCAACTGTGTGTCCTTCTGTTTTACCAGGAAAAGAGTAGTTTTTTCCTAAAGCAGCAGAATTCACATTGGCTTGGGGGGGTTTTGTTTGTTTTTGGTTTGTTTGGTGAAACTCCCTTACATTCTTCAAGCATATTGAGGACACCAAACAGCTTTATTTGTGGGTTATAACTAGTGATATTTACTGTCTTGGAAATTGAAACCGAAAAAAATTTTAATGCTTATTTAGTAATTCATTTGAAAATAGCAAAAATGAATGTGTTGCAAGTCAATAGCATCTTAGCAGTGTTATAAAATTAGTTCTGACCTCATGGGTCCTCTGAGATCAATCCTAAAGAGTCAGTTTGTTGTAAAATATGAAAGAGCATAATGAAAAAAAATGAAGCACAATGAATTTTGTTTGCCTTGGTTTATAACACCTGAGTCTGAGACACTAGGAAATGTGTTTAAAATATTAGAAAAATTTGCTTAATGTTGATGGCCCCGTTTTCTTGGTTTCCTGTTTTATTGTTACCCATAATATAGAGGGTTATTCTTTTTCCCCTGTGATCTGCCTAGAAAGCAAAGACTCCGAGTTTTACCAGAATATCTGACTTTTACGTTGATTTTATTATGTCTTTAATTGTTTAAGAAAACCAGGTTTCTTGCTTAGGAGAGAGCTAAAGTGCTTTACAGTCATATCATTTTCTTTAATGTCACTTTCAAGTAAGTAGACAAGTATTATCTCTCAGACACCCATGATCCTACCTTACGTGTTCAAATCTCCTGAAAACTTTGGGTTCTTGCCTTCCTCAAATCAATCCTAAACATAAAACAAAGTAAAATTGTAAGGATATCTGAGATCTCCCAGAAAGCCCAAGGAAAATCACGAAAGATTTGTTACTTCACCTTATAAAAAGAGAGGTACCAGAAATAATTAGATCCATTTGATATGATAGTATTGATGAGTTGCATGGGAAGAGATGAAATTGTTTTTGATCAGAAGGGGAAGAAACCATAGGAGATTTTCATTCAGTGGAAAACTATGCATTGCCTGTAGCACCCCGTTCTGCATTTTGGTTTTGATTCCATGGGAGCTGTTTTGCAGTCCTGTAAAATGGAGGTAACTGATAGCGATGAAAAATAATTCTTGTCCCTAGACATTCACATTCTGTCTTGACGAGTAGAAGTTCCCACTCTGGAAAAAGCTGGTTTTGCTTTCCTTCATGCATTTGTTTCACTATTCCTTTACTTCTATACACTTGTGCTTTTTAAAAAGATTTTATTTATTTATTTGACAGAGAGAGACACAGCCAGAGAGGAAACATAAGCAGGGGGGAGTGGGAGAGGGAGAAGCAGGCTTCCCGGTGAGGGACTCGATCCCAGGACCCTGGGATCATGACCTGAGCCGAAGGCAGACGCTTAATGACTGAGCCACCCAGGGGCCCTATACACTTATACTTTTTAAACTTCTCCTTTGAACCTATTATAATCGGCCTCATTCCTTTATTGCATCAGTGAAATAAAATCTTTAGAACACATGTTTGTGTTGTATCTGTTTGAGAGACACCATTTCACCTTTAAAAAAAAAAGAATGTAACTTTTAATAATGCATAGGACAGAAGCCCTGCTCATTATAATTCATTACAAAAATGGTAGCCTGGGGCGCCTGGGTGGCTCAGTCATTGAGCGTCTGCCTTCGGCTCAGGTCATGATCCCAGGGTCCTGGGATTGAGCCCTGCATTGGGCTCCCTGCTCAGTGGGAAGCCTGCTTCTCCCTCTCCCACTCTGCCTGCTTGTGTTCCCTCTTTCGCTGTCTCTCTATGTCAAATGAATAAATAAAATCTTTAAAAAAAAAAAAAAGGTAGCCTGAGAAGATCAGTAGCTGACATTGACCTTTACTGATGTAATCTGGCTCTTCCCAGCATGGGGTAGCCTTGGGCAAGTCACTTCCTTTCCCTACACCTCCCCACCCTTCTAGTTGGGTGGGCCTACAACAATCCCTTCCCACTCTACAGCCCCAGCTGGGGCTGGATCAAGGGTCCTAGCCCTAGAAGACTAGCATCAAACAGGTGTGAAGTCTAGATAGCTGCATGCAGGTGGGGGGTTTGCCAGAGGAGAGTTGATAAAGGTCAATACCAATTTGCATGATCTTTCAATTACCGCCCACAGGCTTTCTCAACTAGGATTAAGAGAAAGAATTAAACTTTTTTTTTTAAAAGATTTTATGTATTTATTTATTTGTCAGAGAGAGAGAGAGAGAGAGAGAGAGAGAGTACAAGCAGGGGGAGTGGCAGGCAGAGGGAGAAGCAGGCTGCCTGAGGAGCCCGATGCGGGACTTGATTCCAGGATCCTGGGATCATGACCTGAGCCAAAGGCAGGCGGTTAACTGACTGAGCCCCCCAGGGATCCCTTCAATGCCTGAAGTTTAGAGATTGCTCTTATTCTGTTTGGTTAATGGGGGTTGCTCCAGCAGCTGAGCTGAAATGAAGACAACATGAAGATTTTTTTTAAACTTTTATTTTTCTGGGTGCCTGGGTGGCTCAGTCCTTAAGCGTCTGCTTTCGGCTCAGGTCATGATCCCAGGGTCCTGGGATCGAGCCCCGCATCGGGCTCCCTGCTCTGTGGGGAGCCTGCTTCTCCCTCTCCCACTCCCCCTGCTTGTGTTCCTGCTCTTGCTGTCTCTCTCTCTGTCAAATAAATAAATAAAATCTTAAAAAAAAAAGAATTAAAAAAATAAAATAAAGTTTTATTTTTCTTATTTTAAGTATTTTTGTTTTTGTTTTTGTTTTTAATAGAGAGAGAGAGCATGAGCAGGAAGGGCAGAGGGAGAGAATCTCAAGCTGACTCTGTGCTCGGTATGAAGCCAGATGCAGGGCTCCATCTTATGACCCTGAGATCACGACCTGAGCTGAAACCAAGGGTCTGCCTCCACTGCTCCACCAACTGTGCCACCCAGGGGCCCCTCAAACTTCATTGAAGTGTACATATGGTCATTGTGAGACTGGAACACACCCGTGTGATCAGTGCCCAGACCGCACTGCACAACATTATGGGCCCTTGAGGGGCCCCTCATTTCTTTGCAGTCACCTGCCAACCAGGGCACACACGAAGGGACTCAACACCGAGTTCTCGCAGCATGGGTTAATTTTGCCTGTTCTCGTACTTTGTGTAAAGTGAACCATACAGAAGTTTTTCGTGAAAACTTCTTTCATGAATTGTATTTTTCTAAGATTCACCCATGTTGTTGCATGCAGGGGTAGATCTGTTGATGATCTAGTCAGCTGTCCATGGGGATTTGGGTAGTTTTCTGCTTCGGGACTGTGGTGACGGTGAAGGTCTCTATTCCTGTCCATGTCTTTTCGTGACCATGTGTTTCCGTTTGGTATACAGCCGGGAGTGGAAGTGCTAGATCATATTTCTTTCTTTTTTTTTTTTTAAAGAATTTATTTACTTGAGAGAGAATGAGATAGAGAGAGAGAGCATGAGAGGGGGGAAGGTCAGAGGGAGAAGCAGACCCCCTGCTGAGCAGGGAGCCCGATGCAGGACTCGATCCCGGCACTCCAGGATCATGACCTGAGCCGAAGGCAGTTGCTTAACCAACTGAGCCACCCAGGCGCCCTAGATCATATTTATTTCTGCATCTATCAATCTGCCTATGTATACAAAGCCATGGGTTCATGCTGATGTTTCCAGTTCTGATTGAGCACAACAGGGCTCATTTTGCCCTTCCCCCTTTCCTTATTTGCAATTCCTTTCTTTGATGGTGAGGAACCTAGCTCCCATTAAACACATTTACTTATTTTCTCAATCCGAGAATACCCATAAAATAGCTTCAGAACTGTTCTTTATTTTATATTCTTTAGTGTGTCAGCTGAGAGGGCCTAGAAACAATGATACCCCGGTAGCAAGGAGCACACCCAGCACCCACATCCTAGTTTCTAAATACCATTCTCCAAGACAAGGAACCCGGGTTCCTTGGAGAAATGACTGAGTCCAGGATGAGAGTAATGGGAATATGAGATGAGCCCGAAACCTCTTGTGGTTGTCAGGAAGTAAGGCAGGGCTCAGGATAGAATGGCAGTATTTCAAAAGGACACAGGAGCCAACTTGAAGATGCTCCTAGTGGCCATATCTGGGACAATTTGAGCAACAAAACAAATAATGTTAGTAATGGATTATAACCCAGAGAATAAAATAAATATCCATGAGTCCATACTGAAATAATTGAATAAATACATAAATGGGAGAGAAGGGACAGCTCTTCCTTCCAATTGAATTTCAATTAATCAATGCAGAAGGAATTATGGAGATAGAAAATCACCTTTGGAAAGCCAATGGTAATAAATATTACAGATAAGAATCAGCAATGAATGCTAAATTTAGT